ATGTCATATTTGTGCAATATTTTCACAAATGTGCCTATTAGGGTATATATATATATGAAAATATATAAATGTCTATATATTCACTAAGAAGTGACTATAATAATAAGTATATGTAAACAAAAAATTTGTTCGCGTTGTAAAAATGTACTTTAAATTATATTTAATAAGAATAAGAAAAATATTTTTTTCCATTGTTGCAGGTACACTTCAATATTTTTAATAAAATAATAAATGAAATGTGCCGGATAGTATGAGAATAAGAAGATAAACATAATTACATTTTGTTACTAAGGAACAAGTGGTCTCGCGGATTGAAAGCAGCGGCTACGAACGTGGGGGTCTTGAGTTCAGATCCCACCATTACCTTTAGGATTTTTTCCGTCCCCGGTATCTTTTATCAAGTTAATCAATTGAACGGCGAACTGAATCAGGCTTCTACAGATTAATTTAAATAAAATCTCGAATTAATTCCCGTCTTACAAGTCGATGTGCCATTAAATATATATATTTATCCGTTTTCGACATATTGCATTTTTGCTGAATTTTATGACTCGGCACGTGTTGTTGGCAACTTGTTGTCATGTTGCTCCTTATGTTAGTGATAAACTGTTTACAGCAAATACATGGCAAGTTGTCGGCAACACATATTGACTACGATTGATGTCAAACCAAAACAAAATGCCTGACTCACCTTGTTCTAAGTTTGCTGAAAACTCAAACTCTTTGTTTTTGGCAACATGACAGCAAAAACACAGACAGGTGGCTATCAAGGTAAATTACGGTTTAATCTTTAGACCGCCGGCATGATGCCGTATAGCATCGCTATTGGGACGCTAATATTAAACCGTATTTTAGAGAAGAGTTCTCTTTCATCTGACTTGATTTGTGAGAGAAAATATTTAGAAAATCTAAATATGTTGTTAAATGGTGTAGTTTAGCTTTTGAATTTGCCGTAATCTAGAATACAAAATTTATTTATACATGATTTTTTCCCCGCCGGCCTGGCGCCGAGCCAGATGAAACTTAGGGCACTCCACGCAATGTAATAAACTCAATTTATATACAAATATCGCAGAACAAATACCATGTTTTTAGTGAAAACAATGTTGGCGGTCTAAAAGTTAATGTTTCAATAAAAAACAAGAAAACAATCCACGCTGAACAAACCTTCTTAGTCTTTTTTGTTTGGACTTCTCTGGTGCCCCATGAGACAACGTTAAGATTGATGATGGAATACAGTATGAGAAGCAAGTACATTGACGGAATGGACAACAAATATATAATGCCGGGCACAATACACCAGAATTCTTGCGGATGTAGGCAGGCTGCTATAAAGAATGAACTTGACAGCGATATGAGAAAGATCGCCGAAGGCGAACCAATGCCGTCCTCGCCAAGCTGCAAAGCTGTACCTACGATCACCGCCATCATGATCATCGCGTACCCCGTCGATAGAATCTGGGCGCATAAGAGCTGAAAATCGTTCACTCCTTATTGTTTAAATAGTATCATCTCGGTCTTTAAAAAAAGAAATTGTCCTTTATCTATGTTCTTTATCTATTTTTCCTTTATCTATTTTTTAAGAATTCAGTTAAATACAAATTATAAGCAAATAAAATTATAAGCAAATAAAAGACGAATACAATGAAAAACAGATATGCATATAAATACATTTAAATGTGAACGCAACGAACAAAGCCGTACAATACTACTTACCTGTACGTTCGCTTTGCACGTGAAACAAACGATCATAAAAAGTAATATAGGTATTATATTGTAATAAAAACTGGTCCAGTTATCGATCTTGAAAGCTGCCACAAAGGCACCTACCAACATAAGAAAAATTGTGCCAGGTCCCAGAATCGTACCACCTGTTTTACAATTACAAAAATATTTCTGTTGAAATATTTTTAATTAAATGTGTAGTTCAATTGTAGCGAGTACTTGCCCATAAGCAGGATCTGATACGAAATGTAAGGTAGTGAGATATTGTCGTTAATCTTAATTGTGCGTTTTGCATCCATTAACAGATCCATAATGTTCGCGATGGTAGAAGGCACCCAGCGACGTCGTTGATTGTAGAACTCGTTGAATCCTTCTGGTGCATGTGTGTACGCGTCGCTTGCAGCTGAATATTCCACCTAACATATATAAACAATGAAGATTAACATAAGAGTATGAATATTTTCATCTTAATTAAGATTGACGCGCGTACTCTGTATCCTCGTTGTAGCAACAATGTGCATAACCAACGATCCTCGCCCTGATCGTATTGCACGTAGTGTCTCGCTTCGTCCGATTTTGTCGTGTACTTTTTCATCACGTTGTCGTCCATCAAAGCTTTGCCTCGGAAAAGAGAGAAGCATCCGGGACTGCAAAGTACGCAGCCGATCATATGCTCGGTAGCTTTTTGCAGCCAATGACCGATTGCATACTCAAATTGTTGATACCACACCATTGGTCCTATACAGTTATTATTTTGATAAAATTGTTTTATCACTATATGTACAAATAATTGTTTTCTAGTTTACTTGACATTCCAGACTTACCAGAACCAACTGGATGAATACGACCGCAAGCAGCACCCAGATTCTTATTTTTTTTCATTAAATCCACGAGAAGCTTTACTGCTGCCGGTTGGAAATCAATATCACCATCGAGCGTTAACAGGTATGTATTCTCGGCGATAACTTCTTTACGGTCGACGCTGATTGGTAATTCCATTAGCCGATGTCCAAGCAAGTAATACATGTACATTACCTAAAAAAATTCAAGAAGAATATTTTTTTATACAAAAGAGAAGACAAAAAAAGAAAGGAGAATTGTATCTTCTTTTTGTAAAAAAAATTAATTATACAATTGAAAATAAAGTGAAGTCACCTGACTCCATCGCTTTCTGTGTCGAATCTTGCTTTTATCTTTTAAATGCGCGATCATCTTTGTTTTTCCAGGCAGAGTCCAAACCAATCGTCCACCGTACGGCGTCGGCAGCTTCTTCGGCGCTCTGACGTGCATTCTCGTTTGATGTACGTCTGACGCGGCCTCGTCTAATGTACCGACCAATAGTTTCACAAACCTGTTTACCTGCGATTCGTTCTCGTCATGGTCGGACAATTCGAACGCGTCGTCGAAGAATATGTGAGCTGAAATGTTCTACTTGTACAAACAAGCAATAGATTTATCAAGTTGATTGTGTCTCTCACTTACTTTCGAATTCGTAATAATCGGGATCGACGACCTTGAGGTACTTCTGAGCGACACGTCGTGCGCACTGGTCCTCATCCAAGCGTAAAATACTCTTCAAAAACTCCATCATCTCTTCCTTGTTCTCGTGCCACATAGTAGCACAAGCGTAGATCCTGGTTACGTGGTCGCTGCTCTTCACTGCAGACGGAGGTGTAGTTGAGCCATCAGTGTGTTCGTAGATTGTCTCGTAATCGCCGTCACCTTTCTCTTTTTCTATTTCCGCTAGATCCTGTCAAAGAGTCGATCACAAATTTAATTTAAGAATTTGTAATAAAGACTTAGAAGAGAAACATTCGAATGAAACTGAAAACACGTACTTCAACTTTTACTTCCGGTTGATCGTCTCTCCTTCTGTTCAGTCCCATCGACTGGTCAATCAGTAGTGAATCGTACATTGGTACCACAAAAAGTTTCTCCGTGGCCGCGAGACGCTCACATTTGGGTGTCCAGATGTGCAAGGTAATCCAGGTCTGCGATAACAGCCACAATAGCCATACCCAAGCGTACTGCTTCGATATAAAGTCGTTGAGAAAATTTGGTAACGGCGATTCGTAAAACAAATAAGGAGGAATGGTGCCGTGGAAGAAGCACGGATCATTGTTACGGAGACCGCAGGCAGCAATCAGCAGTGAGATCAACACCGGTATCGTGAGATTCACCGGAAACGCGTAGCTGAAGCCTTGTATCAAAATCTTGCACGCGAACTTACCTAAATTATTTTGAAGTAATGAGGCGTCAACTCAGGCTCTTTCTCAAAATCCAAAATCAATATTTAAACTCAACGGCTATATAGAGCCAGTGCAGGTTGTTGTGCAATAAATAAATGTACTCGGATATGTTTCAAAACGTTTTGACTATATTTAAAGTCCTTATCCCAATTGAATCTTAATAGAAATTAAACGCTACACATGATGTAATTGAATAAAATGCGATATAAAATTAATCGTCATACATCAACAATAAATATATACAATTAGTTAATTGAGTATCCCTAATAGGCACATTTGTGAAAATATTGCACAAAAATGGCATCATAAATGGCGACGATTTTGCAATAATTGCACTAAGATGATACGCCATAACGCAATAATTTTGTCGAAATAAAAGTTTGTAAATAATTTGATATTTGATGCTTTCGCGGTGTGTAGAGTATTACCATACAAAGATGTTTTTTTTGGGTTTGAACCGCGTTAGTGTCATTTTTATACCGACGTTTCGTGAACATTACAGCTCACTTCATCAGGGTTTGAAGAGCAGCCTGATACTGTATGCTCTTCAAACCCTGATGAAGTGAGCTGTAATGTTCACGAAACGTCGGTATAAAAATGACACTAACGCGGTTCAAACCCGAAAAAACATCTTTGTTTGTAAATAATATTTGTCAAAAATTGCGAAAAAGTCGTTATGCATTTCCACAGTATATACCTCCAATAGGCAAATTGTAAAAATATTGCACAAATATGACATCATGAGTGACGACGATTTCTTGCATTTCTTCATATGCAATCATATTTCTACATATTTTAAACATCACATAGCTGAATTTCTTTTCTCAATTATTGGACAATTTCTTTGTGAAATTAATTTTGCAAATATACTGCTAAGATGATTCGCCATATCGTTATTCTTTTGCCGAAATAGTATTTGGAAAGTAATTTTGCAAACAACTACAAATATTTCAGAAAAGATCAATGTTTTTACATCTATCTCCTAAAATATGTCTGTATAATTGCAAATTACAATTTTAGTGCAAGATTTCGTCACATAATTTTGTAAATGGTTTCCTATCAGGGATCTAATACAAGTCATGCTTGCACGAACGTTTTGAAACATCCGAGTACATTTATTTATTGCACAACAACCTACACTGGCTTTATATAGCCGTTGAATTTAAATATTGATTTTAGATCTAAATTATTTTATAAAGATATGTTTATTTCTTTTTTTTTCTTGCAAAGTCTTAATGTTTGTTTAACATTTTTGTGATTGTAGACATTTACAAATTGTAGAAATTAAAACATTTTACATTCATAATTCCTCGCTAATGTTCGCAAGCTCAATTCAACGACGTGAAGACTATCGAGGAAGATATAGTTTCGAGAATTGCCGGCTATTATCTCTGATTCTAGAAATCAGGCTCTCGCGAACTTTCCCTGTTCTCAGTTTTTTTCAGTAACTTCGTGGTCAGTCGAATCTGATCTGCCTAAGCAATGTCGTATTGTCCATTGGAGCGAGTCTCTGTTTAGTTTACGTGTACATACGCAAAGTGAAATGCCTGGTTCAAGAAAAGGTACTATAGTGAAGGAAAGATTAGAAATTGTTAAACAATTACAAAACGGCGTTAGTGTAAATGCTTTAGCCAACGAGTATCCGGGAAAAAATGGGTTAGATCTACTTAAATTTAACGAGATAAAAAATTGGAAAAATAGATCTAATTAGATCCAAATTAAATCTAAATAGATATAAAGTAGATCTAAATAAATACAAGTAGATGTATGTAAGTTTACACTTTTATATATTATTAAATCTACTTTAGATCTACTCAGATATACTGTATTAAAACTACTCAAATTTACTTAGATTTAAGCAGATCTGAACAGATCTGAAGTGATCTAATATAATAGATCCGAGTAGATCAAAAGTAGATCTAATAATAAATAAAACTGTAAATTGACATAGATTTACTTATATCTATTTAGATTTACTTTATATTTATTTAGATCTACTTTATATCCGTTTAGATTTAATTTACATTTAATTAGATCTACTTTTCCATTTTTTTATTTCGTTAGATTTAAATTAGATCTAATCCAGTTTTTCTCGGGTATGGCTTAAGCAAAAGAAGCATCCGAAAATATCGCACAAATGCACATTCAACAACTTGCGAAGAGTGGAAATTCAAAAGAAATGAAAAGAAGTCGTATGTTTCCTGTTGAAAAGATTAACATTTGTTTAAAACATTAGAGTTATATCAGAAATTTGGAATTCCAGCAAAATTCGCTGCGAGCCATGGTTGGTTATGGCGATTTAAAAAAAGGTACAGAGTATTTATTTGGTTCATATTCATGGTAAGTAAGCTGACGCCGATAAAATCGCTGCAGAGCAGTTCATTGAAGAACTGACAAAAAAAATAGAATAAGAAAATATAGATGCAAATACTATATATAACATGGATGAATCGGGCTTTTTTATTATAAAAAACCTTTCAGAAAACATTGGCTTACACACCTTAAAAACGAATGGAAAAAAGCAAAGAGAAAAAGAACCGTGTGAGTATAGGATTTTTGTGCAAATTCCACAGGCATTCATAAATTGCCTTTACTATATTTATACATAAATATGTTTGTCCACAAGCATTAAAACATATTAAGAATAATTTACCTGTCGTATAAAAGTCAAAAGAACGCGTGGATAGATGAAGAAATTTTTAATAATTGGTATATAAATCATTTCCAACCGACCGTCAGGCAATTACAAAATAATGGCAAAATTCTCCTCTTAATTGACAATTTTAAAGGCCAAAATGTTTGTGACAGAGAAAGCAAACACTTCGAAGTAATGTTTCTTTGTTTCTACGCTGTCCAGTAGGTGATGTCCTCTATACAAGAATAGATCCAGCAAACAATTTCTGACTGCGCAGATCTTGGCAACAGAAACTGTGTGCAGAAACGCTACAATACGGAAACATCCTTTGGTGCTGCCAAAACTGTTAGCACAAAAAACGCAACAACTCTGTTGACAAACACATGAGAGTATTGCGGCCACAATGATTCTATATATGTTAGTGAAATTGACAACAAATAGATGGTCGATAGCAAGCAGATTTGCTTTTAGCAGTACTGCGACCAAACAGTCCGCAAAACCGTACGAGCATCTGTTTATGACAAAACGGTGACCGCAGTCGAGTCGATCTGTTGAACGCAATGGTGACAGAGTGTCAGCAAACGCCAAGCAGATCTGTTCGTGCATACGTGCGGACTGTTTGCACGCAAGACTACTAAACTGTTTGTTGACATCAGATAACAAAATGCAATCATCTGCGATCGTATCTGTCGCCTGTGTTGATAACAGATTATTAACAAACATTGAACAGTTAGATCTTGCTTATGCGGGTAATAACTGTTAACTTATGCCGGAACCGGTAAAATTCAACTGTAAGATTTTAATACTTCTGTTTATACGCATTCAGCAATACAGCAATCATAAATATAATGTATTATTCTCGTATTTATTGAGTAATATGAAACAATGGGTGCTTTCCAGCTACGTACAGTCAATACTGTATACCTCAATGTTCACTAGTGTGAATGAGATCACTCATATGCTCTTTTTCACGTTAATAGACAGTAGGTTATACATTGAACTTTAATTTTCTCGGAAATTTGACGTGGTAGGTCCATTTCGCCGCCAAATTCGTTTTCAGTGACTAAAAATCCATTAAAGAACATTTTTTTTATCAAATATCAGCATATATTAACAAACAATTTGTTTGCGTGGTAAAAATGTACTTTAAATTATTGGGTTGGTGGAAAAATTCTGCGAATTTTTAGTATAAAATTTAAACACAAAATCGACATTTATAAAAATTAATTTAGTCCACAATGTGTTGACCGTCTTGATCTACAACTTGTTGCTAACGTTTCGATAGGGCCTTGATGCCGCTCTCCTAAAATCCTTGGGACTTGTGGACGAAAAAATCAACGAGGTGATTTTGGATGGCCTCCATTGAGTCGAATTGATGACCGTCTACATTGTGTTGCAGCGAGCGAAACAAGTGATAATCAGACGGTGCAAGGTTCGGCGAATATGGTGGGTGCTGCATCATTTCCCAACCAAAGCTCTGCAATTTTTTTTTCATGATCAAAGAAGTACGTAGTCGAGCGTTGTCATGATGGAAAATCACACCTTTTCTATTCGACAATTCTGGCCGCTTCTCTTGCACTACCTTGCGCAATTTGTCGAGCTGAGCGCAGTATTTCTTCGAATCTATTGTTTGGCCCTGTGGGAGCAGCTCGAACTACAGCACTCTTTTATAGTCTCACCAAATACATAGCATTACTTTCTGTGAATGCAAATTAGGTTTTGCCACCGTTTGTGAAGACTCGCCCGGACCGCACTACGACTTCCGCCGCTTAATGTTGTTGTAAACAACCTATTTCTCGTCTCCAATGATGATCCGTTTCAGAAATGGGTCTAGAGAGTTTTGTTTCAAGAGAGATTCACACACTAAAATCCGATCCATGATGTTCTTTTCGCTCAGTTCGTGCGGCACCCATACATCAAGCTTTTTCACCATGCCAAGCTTTTTTAATCGATCCATAACGGTTGTATGATGAATGCTGAAGCGCTTCGCAATCTCTCGAGTCGTTAAGTGTCGATCACTCTTCACTGTAGCCAAGAGTTGGTCGTCGTCAACAGAATTTGGCCGTCCAGAGCGTGGTGCATCTTGGAGGTTAAATTCTCCGGAACGGAAGCGAGCAAACTATCTTTCGCATGTGTCTAAGGCCGAGGCACCATACATAACGCATATTTCGCGCTTAGCGTCCGTCGCTTTATATCTTTTACGGAATAAAAACAGCAAAATATGGCAAAAATGCAATTTTTGATCTTTCATTTTAGTTGTATGCCGTACACGCAAAACACGTCCGACCAAAACAAACACTTCTGCCAAATGTCAAGCGTAGTGTGACTTGTCAAAATATGTGCGGCAGACTGACATTTGAACGACACGCGATAATTATTTTCTGACACTAGTGTCATCTATTAAAAGGTCCGCAGAACTTTTCCACCGACCCAATATATTTAATAATAATAAGAAAAATATTTTTATTTATTGTTGCAGGTACATTGCATTGCAACAGTTTTAGTAAAATAATAATTTAAATAAATAATAAATGAAATGTAGGATAGCTTGAGAATAAGTAGATACAAATAATTATGTTAGTAAAAAACACAAGTGGTCTCACGGACTTAGTGCAGGGGCTGCGAATATGGAGGTCTCGAGTTCAAATCCCGCTATCACATTAGGATTTTTTCGGGTTCGGTCTCTTTCAATGGAGTTTTTATCGGTTGATCAGCGAGCTGAATCAGGCTTCCAGAAGTTAATTCGAGTAAAATCTCGAATTAATTCCCCTTCGACAAAGCAATATATCACTGATTTTCTTTTTTTTTTTTTTAGTAATTCCACTTGGATTCTAGGCGACAGATCTGATCTGCGTTTGGTAACAATCTGTCGGCGCTTCTAACGACAGATTTAGTCTGTATTTGCTACTGTTTTGTTGATAATTCTGGCAACATAGATATGATGTGTATTTGGCGCGATTTTGGCGCCAACAAACGATCACCAAATTTGTTCTAGGTTTGGTGCGTCACTTTGGCCTTGCTTTGCTAGTGGCAGACTTGTTATGATTTTGGTCTCATTTTGACATCTCACGTTTGACAGATATGATCGCCGAACCATATCCTAATAAAGACACAAATGGATATAGATTTGGTCTGCAAATTTCGCCAACGTTGGCGACAAAACCGCGACATCTCGCAACCAAATTGTTTGCTGGGGACGTATATCTCTTTTCTTGTCTCTCGTTCGGTTCGCCCGTCTGATGGTGGAGAGGATATGTATACGCGACTGCTTGTATGCGTATATCCTTCCTACTATCATATGTGCTTCATTAGAAGATTTAACTATTCTCGTAAACTAAACAATAAAATCATATTCTAAAAGTTCCATTATATTCTTTTATATCATCCGTTTCTCGGTCTAGTGCCTACACATTTAAACAATGCCTAAAAATTGTTTAAAAATAGAAAAATACGATCAAGTGATAGTAAGAAAGTATAACTTTTTGGTCCTTTTCAGTGGTCAAAGTGTCACTCCGAGATGTGTTTTTTTACGTTCTTTACTTTCGTAAAAGCGTTTTTATTTAATACAGTAAATAATGAAATTAGTTAGATCTACTAAAATGACATTTTGTTGACAAAACAGGACGGTTCAGCATCTTTTTAATATGACTTCCATTCTGCAACCGATGGATCAGGGAGTAATGGCGAAATGCAAAGAATCTTTTCGATACAACTTACTTCGAAGAGCAAGTAATGAATATTATATCTAACATGTTTTTTTACATGTTCTTCTCATTGAGCTGATTACAATCATCTTCCTATTGTTTTATCAATCTACTACTTTAATTTTATAGTTCAATGTTCCGAGGAGAATCCAGGAGTTTTATTTCAACTAGTCTACGACATTAAAGATTGTATTGATTTAATCCACGATGCTTGAGAATTAGTATCACAGACAAATATTTACAAAGCGTGGCAAAAACTCCTCAAACGGCAGAATACAGAAATAAAAGTAGAAGCAGAAGTAATAGAAGAACAAATTGAAAATTATTCTTTCAACGAAGTGGATAATTAGATTTCTCATTGCAAAGAAGCAAAAACTGAATTCATTCGTGAAAACAATGAAGAAACGGAAGAAGCAACATTATGACGACATTGCGAAATAGCAGAAGATGAATTAGAAGACTTATTTGATAAAATTAAGTCTATATATATATATAAGCTGAAATACAGCCAGAATTTATTCAGTTACATGCTAAATTTTTAATAGATTATTATTATGAAAAATAATGTTATGTAACTTTTACATATTTATGTGTAAGGAAACTCATTCAAATGTGATTTTGTTTGGTATTATTTTTATTAGAGAAAAACCTCGGCAATACGATTAAAATTAATCCCCTATAATTATAAAGTAAAAAATATAAAACTTTTATTTTTATTGCTTTAGTGACTTATTTGTAGTTATATACGTTATTATTGATCACAAGTTATAAATAACGCGGACGAGTTATAGATGACGCTTTGTCAAAGCATTTTCAAGAAGTGGTAGGGATAACTTTGCGAGTAATACCGAGGAAAAATTTGCGAATATTAGCGAGGAACTGTAATTTAATTTAGTGAAAAAAATTTTAATTTACTCACCGAAAACATATGCAAAGTATGCGCCGAAGATCTGTAGCAGAAGAACGTAAACGGGCGTGGCGGCATCGGCGTTCACGGTCTCGATGATGTCGCCCATAATGATATCCGAAAGATCGGGTAAAGTGCCGCCAAAAGCCGATGACTTGATGGACGTAACGGTGATTTTGTGATCCCCGAAGGCGCTGCTTATCATAATAAAGAAATGCCCAACGTTCTCATCTTTGACATACAATATTAGTAGCGTACTGATGAAAAATAATGCGATCTTCCAGATCGATATCAGCATGTAAGTGAAGTATCGCGTCAGCCGCATTTCCTTTTTTATTCTGCCGAGTGATCTGATTAAATCTGTAGAAGAGAAAATTACAAAAGAAAATTATAGGAAGAAACAGAAAAAGAAATATGTTTAAATATTATATAGAAGAATTATAAAAATTATATAGAATCTTACTGATTCGGCTTTGCGTGGAAACGTAATTTTCCCACCAGCCACAGGATACGAGAATTAACGCGACAGGAATTAGCCATAAGGAATGCCTTGAATTGTCCAACAGAGGCCAGAGAACAAAGCTAGTTGCTTGAGCAGCTAGGGCGAAGATGTCGATGAGAACGAGGATAAACCTTCGGGATTCTCCTTTATTTTTTGTACGAGAAAGTAGGCCTACAACGGTATCAATTTTATTTCTCCTGTATTCTCGTGTAATTATTACTTTCGTGATTATATGCTCGATAACGCAGAACCGTAAAAAAATTGAACGCGAAAGTCGAGCGATCGCACTCGAAAGCTGACCGCGAAGTGGTGTTGTGATCTAGAATATGCGCGAACTATTAGAGTGAATAAAGTTATATCAACAGTTTATATAATGTACTATAACTTTTATTTTAGTGTTTTTATAAAAATGTATCAATTCTTTTTTTATTCTGTATGTTTTAATATTATTTTTTTAACTGTCAAGATTTTAAATAAAGCTCAAGAATACCTAATAATCCGGGAACGAAGCATACGCAGTTGGTTAACATCGCGCCTTTGACGACGTCCAAGTCTGGTAGCACCACTAGAAACATCAGTGCCAGGCCTACTACGTGAAACGTCTCCATGATAAAAACTACAAGAAAGTGAGCCAATTGTGGCTTTTTCCAAGACTTGAAGATGCACATGCGGATGCTGCGTACCAAAGTGCCAAATTCTGGTACCGCGTACGCAATTATAATACACCACAGCCACGCGATTCTCTCTTCTTCGGGCAGTGTCACTACATAGAGATTTTCTCGATCTGCAGGATATTGCGATCGAAAATTATCAAAGATGGAAACATGAAAACACTGACGTATAATAAACTTTTTTACCTTTAAGTGATTACTTAATTTGTATAATCTTTACCTAGATCCTTGTTGCAAAACAGCATTTTTCTACCCTGACGAAGCTGCGATGTCATAAAGAGAATCGTCCCTTTGGCAACTACGCCGCTTCCTAGAACTATAACAAAGACGAGCAAGTAGACCACAACCTTGGTTACTTGCACCATCCTTTCCAAACATTTCTGGTTTGCCATGGAGCCCGAATCGATTTTTGGTGGTGGATTCCGAAACACGTCCCATCCCTTTGTTTCGACGATCGTACGTTGGCTGCATCAAATAACATCAAAAATGTCATTGATTGAGCGTTCAACGTAACATTCTTTTGAATTTGATAGAAATTCTAATTGTTTAATTTAGAAAGGTTTTATTTTTTATACTAATTTTAATTTTTTCTAGAAAAATAGTATAATTTTGCAAGATAATGACTTGTTAATCAAACATCTTAATATTTATATTATTGCTTTGACGTGTTTTATTCCCGAAAAAAAAAATTATTTTTACCGATGTTGAAATCGTTATACCTTCCGACATAATCCTGAGTCAAAGGAATGCTTTCACCGTCTGAAAAATCGTCCGGACCAGATCCACCAGGTATTACACCATTTTGATGATTATTTTTCGCCATTCTGTAATTTTTTTATTTGCTGTAAACGTTTCTTTCTCGATTTTAAAAATAAAAGTATAATAGAAGTTTTATTTTACTGTTTTAATCACATCGAGGTTTCCGTTTATTTTCTTATTATATTCTTATTTATATTTATATTTTTCTTTATTACATTACATTTTGTTGCGGGCCTTATTTTATCTCATAGTTTTTATGTCATATTAATTTTGCATTAAATAATATATACCAGCATTAAATAATATATATTTAGATGAACCTCATATATTTTGGTATATACGCCAATACGATAACCTAAAGGAATTTAATACGTTGCAAACGTACTGCAGTTTCATCATCATTCGCTTAATTATCAACATCTAGCACACGTGATTTTCTCTATCATGGTGGCTTCTCGTGCGTATCTTTGTTTGCCGAGCTGAGATCCAGGGTTTCTGGTTCCTGAATTCTCGGCTGAGAGTGAAAGGGAAACAAAACATATAGACGTAGCGGATAACGTAGCAAGGACGTCCACTACAACTTCGCTGTTCCGCGGTCGTTGCCGCCCTCACGATATTCGTATTCTGTGTTCCCTTTCGACTCCCTCCACACTTCTCTACACTCATGTCATATTAAAATTACCAATGTCGGCGCCGCTAGTTTCTTCGTACGTATTTTTTATTTTTCATGTTTTTTCGCCTTTCTTTCCCTGCTTTTTTCATATTCGCGCTTTTTTTCGTCTGCGTTCTTCTTCGATAAGAAAATGCGTCATTACACTACGCGTCACGAAATGCATTTCGTGGAAGGATTCGCAAAACGAGAAATTCGTTAAGTAGAAAATACACAAGTTTAAAAGATGTTTTAAATAATCGATTTATATAAGTGGATAAAATATTGAGTTTTTTACTTGTACAAATTAAAAAATATATTTTTCTATTTCTACAACAAAATGTAATATTTTTCCAGTTGCGATGTTAATTTTTGCCGACTTCTTTTAGAATTCTTTATATCGATACCATCAGGAAGTTGTGTACTGTTACCAACACCAATCTGGAATAGTAAATTTCTGGAACGATGCGCGCGTTTAGTAGCAAACTTAGATTACTTGCAAGAAAAATCGCGGTCACAATTGAGAGTAATCAAGAACAACGTTCTTTTAAAAATTTACTAAAGTAACGTTAAAAAGATATAGCTTATTTAGAATAATAATAAATCTTTTAAAAACAACAACGAGTTATTAAACAATGAAATATTCACTTTACTAGAAAGGGAAACAATGTTTTATCAGAATTAATAAAAAAACCGACAAGGCACGGAAAAAAATGTTTGCTAGAATAGCAACAAGAATAGTTACTATATGGCTAGCAAGAAAAATATGCTAAGAGCCTATTAAATTTGTTACTTTATTTTAACCAAGCATTTTATTAGTAAAACAAAAAGTTTTTAAATAGACTTAACAAAATTTTTTTTGCTAGTCGTAACAGGTAAACTTAACTAATAGCAAAACTTTTGTTTTCCGTGAGAACTTATTTATCTTTTTTGCGTATAGGATGTGCAAAGACTCCAGTTAGAGAAGGTTTCTTTCGCAAGTGCTAATATGATTTATATACGCGCAGAAAGAAAGCAGAATTCTCGGAGGAACGCGAGGTCACAAAGAAAGAAATAGCCTTGCCACGAAGAACATATTTTGAGTAGAGTTTTAACAAGTGGATGGACAATAAAAAAGAGAGAAGCACTGTGCGTGAGTCAGCCAAATACTGTTCATTATCATCAATTGTATAGATCGACGTTTTTCTCGTTACATTTCTCGAGTTTGCTGTTTATTTCGCTGAAGTAATTTAAACTATGTAAATTGTTGTACTTGAAGAGTGTTTTTTTCCCCATGTACAACAATTTACATAGTTTAAATTAGTTACGGCATTTTCACTTAAACTCACAAAAAAAGTCCACGCTGCTTTTTGTTAATAATGATATAATTTAGCAAATGCAATGATTTATTTTTCCAAAAAAATAATATACACATATATATTTAATGTATGGTCACAATTACCTGTATAATTAATTTGAAATTCATAAGAAAAGTTTTTACCTTGTTGGTTTTATTAACGCTGGAAGGATTTTTCAAAAATGTCCGAGGCACAATTGTATACATTATTTCTCATATGTAATCAAGACGTAAAATCTCACGAAACGCGATAGTATATTATACTCTATTTCTTGATATACTTATTTTTTTCTACTTTTCGTATAATTCAATAAGAATATGTGCAACACACACACACTTATTTCTGGAGATGATTCTTATGGCCCATCACAATTCGCAAAATGTAATTCGTTCCGTGTCTCACTCCGTCTCTTTTGAGAACAATAACAAAGAAAAACCTTTACGACGACTTTTTCTAAACGACTTATCGATCACAATAATATTTTTCGTAGCTAACCGATATTATCTTGTGAAGCATCATCGCATACAATTCATACATTTGTGCGCGCGATAATAATCGATAGTATATCTATCTAACGCGATAGGCGATGGGAAAAAATATGTAAAAACCTTATCATGAGTAAATTTTTTGTAACATCGATTTCTGCGCGATTCACTATTAGTGGCAAATTAAAACAGATCAATCGCAAATAATCGTTTTTGACGTCACAGATAAGCAGTTCTTTTCGCGCCGTGACTTTTGCTGAAAGATATTTGAACAATAATGCTTTCTATTGTAAGAAATATAACGAGATCTAATGTGAATAAAATCGATAAATCTTGCAATTGTGCGCAATCGTGCGGGTTCATGATAGTGAAAGCAACGGGCGCAAGGTCACGTCGTCATGTGCATAAATATTTAATTATTACACCTCCTCAACTAGGATCCATCGTTATCGCGGAGATTCGCATGCTGCTTATACATTATGTATTAGGAGCTAATTATAAAAATATTTTAACGTGGAATATTTATCTCTTTCTCGTTACATGTTTTCTATACTGTCTCTCATATTTTACTATATTTTTTCATTTTATAATGCTAATGTTTATTAGATTAAGTATTAAATAAGATCTTAAAAAACTCGTTGCATTTTCCCTAGTGAAATTATAAGATTTCAAAAATGTAACTTATATACGAGAATTTTTCGTGATTTGCAATCGTACGCCTAGTTTTCGCGTAATAACATATAAAAGGAAGGAGCCATGTAACAAAACTACTTTCATTTCTGCTCGCAGCGATTAATAAGTAGGAAGTTAACCCAGTAAAGCTAGAAGCATAAAAACTTTCAGATAACCACATTACATATTTTATTTCCTGCATTTGTTAAAATAATTTATTTAATAGAATTAGAGAATATCAACTTTGTTATGTACCATTTACAAATTTCTGAATTTGTAAGGAATTCTGAAAGATTTAATGTTTAATTTATTAGAAAACTGTACTTATATAGACAATTTTTAAACTTTATAATTTATTGCTAAAACACTTTATAGTTTCCAAAAAAATTAATATACTATAAATATATATTTTATTTCGCGAATATTTTATATCAAAAAATAATAAAGATACTTGAAATAATCATTCTCCTCGTCAAAACAACTTTTAACAAGTAATCAGAAGTTAAATGACATTGAAGCACCAATAAATAGGAAAACAATTTTATGCTCGTTAATCGCTATAAATGCCTCAATATATATAAATATTAAAAGATATAAAAAAACTGTAATTACCTGACGCAGATAATTTGATTCTCGTTAAATTCTTATCCTTGATATTTTCGCGATGCGGACGACCATAGTCAACGAATGACACGCGACGGAGAAATCGAAGACTCGCGTCCGCGCTTCCTGAATCTCCACTTCAAGATGACGTTAATGTTTTTGCACGCACCTTCTTTTTCCTCACACAATCGTATCTTCGATTTTCACAGAATAACATAAAACCGTAAATCGCGGAAGTTATCTTGCAGATAAAGAAATATATTGTGTACGATGACAATGACAACGACGACAAAAACGGTGATAGTAATACAGCAGTGAGATCGCAAGATTAGTCAGGTGAAAGCGGAGTCGAGGTGAACGTCAGTCTCGAACGGCGACTGTCATGGCATCACTTCTCAAGGTACCGAAGGCAGTTCTCGAGGAGGACCTCTCCCCGCCGTTTGATCGGCCAAGTACTTTCACAAGCAAGAGCATAAAGCAAAAAAGCCCCAGCGCGAGGTTAGAGCGAGGAACTTCAACAAAGCAAAGGGCAAAAGCTTAGCAAACTACTGCTTCCATCTTTTGTTTAAAAATGTTTTTGTTAAAAAATTTTAAATCTTAATGTCACCGTGTGTGATTTTTTTGCCGAGGCAAGTCGGCAAAATTATATGTCAGAGTTTACCGTACGTACTGTATTGATCGGAATGTGGATAGAATGTTGCCTGTCAATAGGCAATCCTATTCATTTGTCAGCCTGATAGCTAATGGGTTGTCTATCTTCTAGGCGCGACTAACATATACATACATACATACACACGCGCGCGCGCGCGCGAGCAAACATGTCTGTGCATTTATTTCTCATTATTTATCACGTTGTTACGATATTATAGCATACAGTGATAAATTGCAAAATAATAATAATTGTGTCAATATTGTTGACTGCAAAACTGACTGCTGAGTTTCTGTAAACGTACTAATTATTTTTTCAAATACACTCTCAAAAAAATAAGCCACCAAACTTTAGAACAATTTTTTAACATTTTTCAATAGCTGATAACTCAGCAAAAAATCATTGCAGTAAGATGAAAGAGAGCTCAAAGTAAAGCTTGAACATTTCTCTTTACAACCAAAAAATTTGTAAAAACATTTTGAAAATATGGATTTGTTAGGAACTAAATAAGCTTCAAAACTCACACAATGTTGTCAGGCAGCCCGTTCTCTTGACCAATGCAACAGTTAAAAAATAATTTTTTCTTTCCGCTTTTCAAAGTCTATCTTCAACATCTGTCATTTTGTAAAATATTTTTTGTAACTCAAGTTTAGTTTTTTAGTTGTAAAGAAAAATGTTTAAGCTTTACTTTAAACCCTCTTTCATTTCAACACGATGATTTTTTGCTGAGTTATCAGCTATTGAAAAATGTTACAAAGTTGTACTAAAGTTTGGTGACTCATTTTTTTTGCAGGTGAGTGTATTATGATAAACATGACTTAAGAGAATGCTGAATTGACAAAGAAAGTCCGCCACAAATGCCACTTAGCAGCTACGCTGTCGGGTAGCTGGCGCCATCTCTCGGGACCGTTGAATAAAAACAAGGATAGATGACATGATAGAGACAAGGATAGACATAGATATCTTTCCGGCGGTTCTGCTAAACCTGCATTAATCTTATCGTCACATTTTCTCTTTTTACAAACTTCAAAATTTATTTCTAAAACGATCAAAATATTCGTTTATGTCGGATAGAATGGCTCGGATAAGTTGTGTTATGATTCGTACTGCCACTTTTGTATACGAAGTGAAAATGTTGTCTACGTGATAATAATCCATAAACTTTTTTTCGCTTTTCTTGTTGATTTGTCCGGGCCATATTTTAGTATATTCTCTTTTATTCTGGAGAAGCGTTTTCCATTCCGATCAATGGATGCAGAGTAAGTTGTGCAATAAAAGACGCCGGTAAAACAGGAAGGTTATGGAAAGAAGTAACAATATTGCGCGTTCTTGTTACTTGATACTGCGTTTGATTTGATAAAGTGTATTTTATCACGTGTTGCACAATATTTATGACAAAATTACCGATAAATTTGTTTGAGATGTCTTCATTTATGTTGTACAGCAAATAAATACGATATATTTAATATGGAATATCGACTTTGCGCAAGATATTATCAGTAAGAATTAGATCAAATAGACAAGTGTTAGTCGGACTAAAAAGATAAAAGATAAAGGTAGAACATTGGAACATAAGCAGATTATAATATCGCAACTAACGCAATCACTTGAATAAAATACAAATTTTCTTTAAAAATAATTTAAAGTCCGATCTAGCAGAGTATTTTGCTTCTTATCTTAAAAGCATATAGCTTAAGTTCTTAATGAAAAAAATAACTGACAAAAGATAAAGCTTAAAGTAGACAGTCCAAATATGATAAAACAATAATGCTTATTATATATTTATATCTCAACTGTTTGTTTCTTCTGGCTTATCACAAATATGTGAATGTGTCGCGTACTTATGTATTCATAGATGTTTGGCCTCAGTGTAAAGAGAATTACGAGTTTAAGCAAGTTACAAAAATTATAACTGGCTTATCCACGAAGTAATTGTTACAAGCTGTCAAACACATATTCTATTTCTATTGCATATGTGTGCGCGAAAACATATATTCTATTATTTGCAGAAACAGAGCTGTTTTAAACGCTCCAAGTAGAAGAAGTTGCAAGACGGAGAAATATTTTGTAACAGAAAATCTCAAAACATAAAATGTTTGAATATAAACGGAAATAGAAAAATAGAGTAAAATCTGTTAAACTTCTAGAGGAGCATAGTTATAGTTAAGTTATCAAGATGAATTAGATATCAGAAGTGATAAGCATAGAAGGTAAAAAGTAATTAAGTAAAAAATCTCGTCTACATAAATTTTAAATCTTGAACGCAGGTCACAGGTCTCACGGAATTAATTGTATCGAAATCCAATTAGTCAATTCTTAAAAATCTGCGTTTACAACGACGGTCTACGACTTATGTAGATTTAAAAGAAACACACGTATATATGCGTGTAGTGTCACGATCGCAGCAAAGAATTATCAGCTGATAAGTACACATGTCCCTCGTGCTTATACCAGTGCGTACGTACCGAGCACTGGCAGCTTGATAAATGTGATCGAGACGTTTAGATATTATGCGTGCAAACAGAGTACAGTACCAGTATCCGTATCGTAGCCACGACGAACGAATCGCAGTAGCCGACGATCAGTTTACGATTTATTGATGTGTTAACTCACAATCACACATTGTTGCAAAGATTTATCAGTGATCGTTCTGAAATTAAAAATTAACAACAAAGTCCAGGTTGCGCCGAGAGAATCTCGTTTGTTTTTAAATTGTGAAGCAAGTTAGTGAAAAACTCACAAATTCTTGAATAAGCAATTATCGTTTATATAACATTTTCTCAAAAGAGAGAGAGAATCGTCGCAGAATTTGTTTAAACATTTTGTCTGATCATGTCGCTCGCTTCCGAAACCTTAGACAATAATGGATCATCCAAGAATTCTTCAAAATCCTCTTCAAATTCTAATTATCATTCTGTCTCAAACGAATTCCACACAGGTATGACACGAATTATTTGTTCGAGTATCGTAGACGTAGGCAAATCTGATATTTATTAACAATCACTATTTGTAACGATTAAATTCTATTCTTAGATTAATTATCATTATATTTATATAAAATGATTTATAAAAAATAATAAATACTTTTGATAAATATTTAGTTTTATCTTAAACTTTACTCCCAACTCCCCAATGAGGGATTAAAATTTATTTTAAATCTAAAGATAATTTTTAATCTTTGTAAATGTTGCTCAAAAAGAGCTGTGCGTATTTCATTGTTCTACACAAATACACGAAATAAACTTCATGTAGTTTCCTTTTTTGTTTACTATTAAAATATTTGTTGAATTCCAATCTTGTTTATTCATTACTGCCAATTGATCTGTTAAGACGGAGAATCTTTATAACTCGTAAGATAACACTCAAGAATCCAAATAATTATATATTAATGTAAACATATACATGTATATATGTATATATATACATATATATATATATATATATATATATTTATATATATAGTATATATCTGTGTGTACATCATTCGGCGTTCTGGACCGCAGCATCTAATTTCTCTTAGAAATTTCGAGATAATATACCTGCTTTTATAGAATCGTCTCTTGAAGAAAAACAAAGAAAGCTTTAAAGCAGTAAAATATGTTATTTTTCGTCGAAACTTATTTACCAATTTTCGAATATCTGACCTTCTCGAATCGCTTCGTGAATTACACAAATCTTTCTCAGATCTTTATGGCTGCATTCCAATATTCACTGCCAGTACTGGAAATCTAAAGCACATGTGACGTGCAGTATAGATTTTTAATACTGGCAGTAAATATCGGAACGCAGCCTTTGTTAAAGGTTTTTCTTTTTCTGCCTGTGTATCACAGTTTCGTTAATTTTATTTACATTTGATATATCGGCGTACTGAAATCGGGCACGATAATGATAACTGCTTCTGTACTTCTCTTTTCAGTGATGAACGGAAATGTTTCCACAGATACTTTACGTGAGGAAACTACCAATGGAGTTAATAAAAAACTAGAGGTATAATCGAACAACCGACCTCGGACTCACTCGTGATCCGACTTAATAAAAAATAATTTTGATGAATAACGATTAAGTCGTATCGCGGGCTAAAATTATTTGTTCCAATTTCTCTAAATTATCTTTATTCCTACAAAAATCGATAAAAAAACAAAACAAAAATATCTTTCTTGAGAAATATCTTTTTTCTTTTTGATCGAATTTAATCTATCATTTCTATATGATGCAGGAAATAAAAAAAAATATGCTGGAACTTAACAAGAACATGGAAAACCTACTAAACGAAATATCAAAGAAAAAGAATGAAATGTCCTTGAGCACGATGAAAGAGCTGCTATACAACGTGGAAAAGTATCGCGACAAAAAGTGAGAAATTCTTGATATAAAATAAAAACAAAAAGACGTAACAAAAAACTGGTTTAAAGAGAGAGACAAGTTCTGTCCTTTAACTTTGTACTTTTTCTTGCAGACAAGGCAAAGACGGCGTTCTGCCGGACAAGGAGTTCCAGGAGAGAAACTCGCTGCTCACCGAACTCTTTGAGATCACGCACATTCGTACGATTTACAATTTATTTATGGTATCCTTCATATATTTGGCTCTTATAACCGTCGTGAACGATTTCCAGGAAACAGGATGGTAAGCGTGTATGACCAAAAGTATCCCTTCTCGTAATTTCTATAATTTAAATAAATGTACTCTTCTTAATTTAATTGTAAATTATACAACGTTGTATATGTATGAGAATTGTAGTTTTAATAATTGCAACTACTGCTTATCTGAGATGAGCAAAGAGTTTATCAGAGTTTAAATAACTAAATAAAACGCGACACAATCGCTATATTATTCTGGAAAAATACTTAAAACGAGATAAATCAAAGGCTCGTAGCATTTGTATAACATATTGAATTGCAATATCAGAAGCATGACACGACATTTCTTCTGTTACATTTGTATATCATTTTGTTTAAAGCCTAAATAATGCGGAATAATACTTCATGTGTCAAAAAATTTACTTTAATATAAACGCCATGTTAAGAATGCATATAAAAACTGATTGTTTTTGACATAACATGAAAAAATTTCATATATAACTTCTTATTTCTAACTTACTAAAAAATATATTTAATTAAACTTGAATCTTTTTGATAAGAAAAATCACAAATATTCTAGGTGGTATCTCTTTGGAACCAATACAATACTGAAAGCCTTTGACAAATTCCCGATCTGCTTTGGCATTTGGTGTGTTATGCAGATCTCGGCAGTCGGTGTCTACGTGGCTTTCAAGATTTGGTCAGTTTATCGTCTTCACCTCATGCCAAAATGTAATATCTCATAGATTAAATTTATTTAAATTATTTAAATTTAATAAATAGATTATTAATTTAATAAATAGATTAAATTTATTAAAATTATTTAAAGTTTTTAAAAGATGCAGTGTTATAAAAATTTTATTAAGTGAAATTCTAAATGTTCATTGAATAACACAGAATATTTTGAGTAAAACGACAAATAAATAATATTAACAAAGCATATTTACAAAAAAAATTAATGAAAAAAGTTCAAATTTTTCTAGCTCTTCCGGTAAAATTGTGGGATTACAGCTGGCTTACACTTTTTATAATCTATCAAGTTCTGTTTATCATTTTTCCGACCAAGATGATACTCAACGAGGATCTCCCCATAGCTTGCAGTGGAATTGTGCTCATGGAACAAGTACGGTGCTTTATACGCTATTTTCTTTTTCATTTGAAAAAAATTATAAATGGTATTTTCTTCTTCAGATACGCTTTATGATGAAAAATCACGCTTTTGTCAGGAGTTCGGTGCCCAGATTTCTATCGTACAAACCTCACACTGAAGTCTCACTGCCAATTTGCCCCGGATTCTCGCAATATTTGTACTTTTTGTTCGCGCCCACTATTATTTATCGCGACAAGTATCCCAGGTAATGAGATTTCTTGTACAATAATCTCTTAATGTTCAATTACAGTAGATAAATTATACTCAAATAAACGTTCGATGATTTCTCTGCAAATTTGGATTTAGGACAAAGCAAATCAAATGGATGGTGATAGTACGTAATTTTGTTGAAGTTATCCTTGTAATCTTTTATCTCGCCTTTATCACGGAGCGTTTCTTAGCGCCGGTTTTTTCCGTCTTTGGCACGCGAAGTCTGGATCGAGAGTGGATCGTAAAAAACGTTCTCGAAGCCAGTGTCCCTGGCATTATGTTTTTCATCTCCGGGAATTATCTTTTGTTACATGCGTGGTTGAACGCTTGGGCAGAACTGCTGCAGTTCGCCGATCGAAGGTTTTATATGGTAAGTTCATATATTGAGTTCAGAAAATTTAACCTTATATAATATACCCTAAAAGGCAACTTGTGAAAATATTGCACAAATGGCATCATGAATTGACAAAACATTTTGCAATGATTACACTAAGATAATTTGCAACAGTTTTGTCAGAATAAAATTTTGTACATAATATTTGTCAAAAATTAGAAAAGTTCAATTTAGAGTGTAAATATTTTATAGTATTTCAATTCTTTGATGCATAAAATTATCTAATTTAATATTTGTGACAATATAATACAACAAATCCATTTTGCAATATTTGCAATATTTTCGGATAAAATATTTATATTCTAATTAATAACTTAATTTAATTTTTGTTAATTAGTAATAGTGATGGAGAATTTCACTTTTCGTGATCTTTGGAACTCTGGTTGAGATGTGATCAAAAAACGTTAACTACTTATTTTAAAATACTCGACAAGCACACATTATCGAAAGCTCAATTTACATGCATCTCATAGAAACTGTTTTGATTCTTGATTTAAGATTTTGCTGCATTAATGTGCAATATTACTACACTATAATTTAAGAATCATTGTGCTTTTTTACAAGCATATAAATGCTTATAGTACATGAATTAATTTGATTTCTTCATGTGCAATTATATTTCTACCTGTTTTAGACATTACATAGCTGAAATTTTTTTTTCAATTACACTGTTCAACACATTTTTTGGAACCTGAATAAAGAAAGTGTTTTCTAATGGATTTTTAGTCGCTGAAGACAAATCCAGCGACGAAAATGGCCTACTTTTAGGTTTCCGAAAAAATTGAGGTTAAATGTGTAAAAATTGGCGTTTTTGGCTATGTTTACCATTTTTTGCGGCCAAACTAAATTGTTTGCTGCAATTGTACTTACACCACATTAAAATGCTATCTTTTATCTATAATATGAATTTATATATATTACGGTACGATTGTTTCATATACATACTTAACATATTATAAATCATTAAATTGGATATAGATATAATATTTTTTGTTAGACAAGAACATAGTCACGCACTTTGACATTCTAATTATCTCATAAAATTGTTTATTTCTTACTATTGTAATTCATAAAATTATATTTCATACATCTATAAATAGTACACGGAAAAAAAAAGATTTGTTAGAATAGCAAGAGATTAGTTACTACACGGCCAGCAAAAACACATTTGCTAAGTTTTTTAAGATTTTTGATTTGCTAACAAAACATTTCGGTGATGAAGCAAAATCTTTCATAGACTGAATCATTTTTCTTGCTGACTGTATAACAGCAAAACTTTTTTTTCGTGTAATAATCATTTTCAAGTTACTAATTTATTATGTGATAATTATGTACATAAAAAAAATCGTACTGTAAAGGGCCGTCTACAATGGGAGTAGGCAGTATAGAGTAAGAAGTAAGGTTCTTGGAGTTATTTCATTTTTGTCTATACAAGTAATTATTTCGCGTTTTTTGACACGACTCTTTTATTGGCTAACAGTAAGGCAGTAGGCAGTGCAAAATGGGAATTGCCCATTTCGTTATTCCCATCGTTTCTTCACCGAAAAATAATTTTCTCTCTACTCCTACAGCCTTACTACCTTCATTGTAGACTAGCCATAATAAATACAATATAAATTCATATTATAGATTTAAAAACTAGCACTTTAATATGGCGTAAGTAAAACTGCAAAAAAATGTAGTTTGACCGCAAAATAATGGTAAATATAGCCAAAACTGCCAGTTTTAGCACAATTAATCTTACTTTTCTCGGAAATCTGACGTAAGCCAATTTTGCCGTCGGATTCGTTTTCAACGACCAAAAATCCATCGAAAAACATTCTGTTTATTCCAAGTTCTTCAAAAACGGTTTATTTTTGTAAAACTGTGTTATTGAATTTCTTTCTAAATTTAATTTTGCAAATATATTGCTAAGATGATTCGCCATACCATTATTGTTTTGCCGAAATAGTATTTGAAAATTAATTTTGCAAACAGTTACAATATTTTATCAAAATACATCTCTATAATTGCAAATCACAATTTTCATGCAAGACTTTGTCACATAATTTCATAAATGTTTTCCTATCGGGGTATATAATTATATAATTACATATAATTTTATACATATACACACAGAAATTGTCGAAATCAATTAAATTGATTAGACCAGACATGTCCAAACATATCGCCTCCGAAGCCGAACCGATGGGCACAACCTTCCCCCTCCCCACTGCTGGACATGTCTGATATAGACTATATTATAGTAACATTTAAGTACTATAGTATAGTCTATATCAGCATGTCCAGCGGTGGAAAATTTCGCCAACCGCTTTGGCTCCGGAGCTGGACGTTTGGACATGTCTGGAGTAGACGCTTATAATCTATTAGATTAAAAACATTGCATAAATTATTCACTTATTATTTTGTTTTTATATTATTAAAGGATTGGTGGAACTGTACGTCCTATCGCAATTACTATCGTACGTGGAACGCGGTGGTGCATGACTGGTTGTATACGTACATCTACAAAGACATGTATGAGCACGTGACACCGCGCAACAAAACACTGGCTGCTTTTGCTGTGTTCTTCATCTCTGCAATTGTCCACGAATATATTCTCGCGTTTATGTTTCGATTCTTCTACCCAGTTATGTTTGTTATGTTTGGAGGTTTGGGCTACTCTTTGACTTTTGTCGGCAAAGTAACTGCTGCTGGTAACGTTTTCATGTGGTTGAGCTTCTGCCTTGGCAACGGCATCATGTTTAGTTTCTATGCAATGGAATACTACGCACGGATAAATTGCTTACCACGTCCCAGTTACTACTGGGATCTTTTTCTGCCACGAAGCTGGGACTGCCAACCACTTGCGAGCTTTCGTGCGAGTGGATAAATCTTTTCTAAGAATAATTTTGTAAAATTTATTTAGTGTACACACACGCGCGCGCACACACACACGCGCGCACACACATACACACATCTGTCTGTGCGTATTCGACAAAACAAAAATACATTTAAGCTCTAGCAGTATAACAATTATAATTATTGTATTATTTAATATATATCTATTGTATTATTTAATATATATCTATATGATATATATATACATATATATATATATA